CCCACCAAAGGCTTTTGCACAAGAGAATTTCTCAAACATGCCTGCACAAGGATTTCAGCACTCCTCCTTGCCCGTCACGGCGAAGTAAGGGCACATCATCACAGCTTTACAAAAGCAGGGCATGTTCATCATCCTCTATCCCTAAGGGATCTTCCGTGATTATCACGGCAACACTGGCATAAGCGAACCGCACGAGGTCGTGTGTTTCGTAGCCCCCAGCACGTCTTGAAGGTGTGGTAGGTATCTCCATGAGGGCTCACGTAAAGAGGATACGTCCAGGCTTGTGGATCAGGTACTGGCACTGGTACCTCACGGTCTTGGTAGCAAATCAGAGGTCGAGAATCCAACTGGGTCCCCACTTCACGCGTACTCTGGCCTGAACTCATCGAAGAAGTCATCGGTAACGGAGTTGAGGGCATTGTACTTGTAATTGGTCCTGGTGGGCGCGCGGGCGTCCCTGCTGTAGACGGTGAAGCCGTGGGTGTTCTCGCCGTAGGTCTCGGAGGCGTAGACGTCCTCGTCGTAGACCGGGCCGCAGTAGGAGTCCTCGCCACCGATGGTGAGGAAGTAGTCGTGCTTCCATGAGATGCGGCCGAAGATCGCCCAGACATCTGGGTCTCAATCTCACGCTGAATGGTCTCCTGTAGGTGTCGTAGTCTTCGGGCTGAGCGGGATGGCCTCACTTCTCCACAGCAGCGATCAACACACCACCACAAAAGTTCCCAAACCGCCACCACAGTGCCACCCAGCAACACCACCATAATGTAGAGCTCCAGGGACATTGCGAGAGCAAGGGGATCCTCCTCCTGGGCCCGTGCTGTCTGAACCATCATACAGGCAACCAGCATCCTGACCACAGCAACCTTGGACATCTCAGCAACCACATCTTTGGGGCTCATCAACTCCTCAAGCCGCTGGCGTGGGAAGGACTTCGTCAAGAGGTCCGCCCATTGGCTTTTTCCCGGCTCGTAAACCACGGCCACCTGGTCGCTTACAACCTGCTCATGTATGTAGGATGCTCGCACCCGCAAGTGGCGCGTTCGCCACGAGGATGATGAGCTCGGTCGAGCCAGGCTAATGGCTGCCTGGTTGTCCACTCGTAGGTAGATCTTGCCCACATCCTTTGTCATTTGGAGCAACACCGACTCGATGCTCTTGGCCATAACTAGCTAGCCCCTCTGTGGCAGCAAGGAGCTCGCATTCTGCCGTCGATAGGCACGTAAATGGCTGCCTTGCCGACCTCCAACATACCGGTGCTCCTAGCCATACGGCCACAAGGCCCGAATGGCTTTTTCCCCCCTGGGGCGAACGAGCTGTCCGTGTAAATGGCGAAGTCGCTGTTCGAAGGTCTCAAAGTCAAAGCCAAGTTTTTGGTCCTCTGTAGGTATGACCGTAGCCTCCGCGCAATTGCCAGACATCGGGGAGCAGCTCTTGTGAGGAGCGAGCCCATAGCACAGACCACGTAGCAAATGTCAGGACGGATCCTCTGAGCTATCCACAATAGCTCGCCGCAGGCCCGTTGGGCCTGCCTTACATCATCTTCGGTGCCTTGTTCTTCTCCATCATGTGCCTCAAACGTAACCATCTCCTTCGGGGCCTGGATGGGAGACTGATCGGTCTCTGAAGCATGGTGCCTCAAGATCTCCTCGATGTAGGGCCGTTGGTGGACATAGATCGCATCGTAGTCCTCGCTTACTGCAATCTCGCACCCAAGAAACCGTATCTCATGGTGCCCATCCAAGACTTCTAGAGCCGACGCCTTCCACACCTTGCGGATAGTCTCTGAAACGGCCGTTACGAGTCCCATAGGCCCGCACAACAACATGTCGTCGACGTAGACGAGCACCAGTCCTTCGGGCTCCTGACCGGGAGGAGCCCCAACTTCATAAATTACCCATAGGTTAGGCTCGGCGGTCCCTTATTTCAACGACCAAAGCTTCTCGTGGTAGTTGATGATCATCTGTCTCAAGCCATACATCCCATGAGTGAGCTGCCAGCGCTCACTGGGGTCAGCAAGTCCTAGCTGCACCAATGCAGCTGGAGGCCGGATGATGTAGATCACCTCCTCAGGACCCGCTGGAAGCGGAGTCAGCATAAATGCTCCCGTGATGTCGGTGATGCCGGCCCTCCATCGGCGTCGAGCCGTGTAAGTCAGGGTGCACCTAAGGCTTTCAGCTGCTGCTCCTCCTGCGAAGAGTTCGCCTTGGTCTTCTGCGGCGTAGTTGCCGCAGCAAACAATGCGGGCCTTGCGCCGGCAATATGAAAGCTCATTCTCGGGGCCCTGCTCTTCTCCGGAGGGAGGCTTCACGGTGTACACAAGCTTCGATGGTAGCTCCTGCACCACGTACCGACTCCTCAAAGCCGAAACTTCATCCGCAGTAATCTTCTTGAGCCCTTTTTCCACAACTCCTAGCTCCTTGGCAATCGGTGCCTTCCATTTCTGGATGACCGCCTTCGCCTCCTAGGGGCTAACGTTGTAGGTGTGGCGGAGCGGGACACGTGTTTCACAGGCCTTGCCGATGATGTCCTCAATGCCCTCCACATACTCTGGTTCCATCTTGGCCACACGAGGCTGAGAGTACAGACCCATAGAGGCCCAATGCTCAACGTTTTGTTCCATGTCGTTGTAGTACATCAGGTTCTCCTCCTCCCCGCACAACGTGTCGATAGCGCGGGTCAAAGGTCCCAGCTCAACACCGGGATCATCAGATGCACAGACCCTACATAGAGACACCGGCCCATAGGACTTCTCGATCCCATCCTCCTCCTGAGGCAGCGCTTCCACATACATAGCCCAGTCCCGCAAAGTCGCTTCGCAGCCACCTGCAGTAACAGCGTCCACATCATCACCTCCATCACGAGCTCCGCTCTGCAACGTCTCAGACGGCAAGGATGCCGTCCTGAGCCCCGGTCTGGTTTCCAGAGCCCTGCTAACATCATGAAGAGGAACTTCAGGCTGCGGTAGAGGGAATCCAACATCCTTCAAGTACGCTTTGTCGACTGGGTTGAGCTTGTAGGCCCCCTGCGGTGTGTATGCGGACAAGAACCATTTTACACCATCACTCTTGACATAGGCATGGGGGACCAACGGGTCAAACACCGCCGGCTTGGACTTGACATCGACCAAGCACCCCTCATATTTTCGACCATCCGCTTCCTCGTACTGGTAGTCCTCGGCATCGGTGCCACCAACCACTTGTCGCTCATCATCACGGTTTTGCACCCAAAGTCCCTCTAGAGACCCGGTCTTGAGCTCTTTGACGTAGTTGTAGGTGCCGCGCTCATTGTGGCTGTCCCGATGTTTTGGGATCTCCTCCGCCGACTGAATCGCCAGCGTGGTCCACGAGTACTCCAAAGAAGGCCACGTCTCCCTGATCCTCTTGATCATGTAGTTGTTGAAGAAGCGGCACACCTTTCCTCCGAGTAATCCTCCTCCTGACAGAACTGCCGCGCAATGGCCTCCACATACTGACGCTCACCAACCCGTAGATACTTGGTCTGCAGTCCGTCCTCCTCCTCAAAGCACAGCTCTTCCTTGGGTACATCATACAGCACCTCACACTCCGGGAAGAAACCATCCAACTTCGAGGCTACCGGGGTCTTAACTCGCACTCTGCGGGTCGGTGGCGGCAGCAAGGGTGGTGGTAAAGGAGGTTCACCATCAGGATATTCCTTGGCAGGCTCCGGCTCAACAATCACAGTAGGCGCCACCTCCTCCAATGGAGTTGGATCCTGTGTTACTCTGACATGGGTGGTCTGTATGAACCTGCCGGAGTCCTTGAGAATCACGTGTCCACCTCTGATGTCCGTAGACGGTCCAACATACCGCCCTCGGGTCCAATGCGGACCAAAGTCCTCAACCGCGCCCGTCTTGTAGCGCTTGGTTTTCACATAGACGCGGGTGCCGTATGCAACTGGCATCATTGGAATCGTACCCAGTTGATCACACCGTTGTTGTGCGGCCGCGTACTGCACCGCTGTTGGCCAATTCTCCTTGTCAACTCCCGCACTGTCCAACAAGATTCGGGCTCGACGTTTCAAAAACCGAACCCCTGACTCAGCGACACCATTTGCCGCCGAGTCGGATCCTGAAGTTGTAGTAGGCCACATTCCTTGCGATAGCGCCCACTTTCTCACCAAATTCCCTCGGAATTCGCCTCCACGATCCGAGTGAATCCTTGTCACAGGATAGCCAAGGGCTTTCACATCCGTCACTATTCGCTGGACAGCGGGTAGCATTGTTGCCGCCTTCTTGTTGTTCACGGGGACGGCAAAATAAAGCGTAGTCGTGGCTATAGGTTCCTTGAACGAGGCCAGGAGCTCCTCCCATTGCTTTTTCTCGCGGTCTACATCTGTAGGAGCAACACCATCTCCCTCAACAACTTCATCGGCCGGCGCCTCCTCATCGGAAATCTGCACGGAGGGTTCAAGCTCGAAGTCTTCAGGAGGGAGCGGATGGCCTCGAACATCATGGGGACCATGCAAACCATCAACCTTCGGGATCCTCATAACTCCAATGACGAAGTACTTGAAAAACTTCCCGTCTGGGGATCTCCCCCATCCTTTCAACCCAACCACATCCACACTGAGGCTGTAAGCCATTGGGTGCATCGTTGAGCGACGCTGGTGGCCCGCTGCACTATTGCGAACGCAAAGGGAACAGTCACGACGAAACGGTTGGTGGTTTCTTGCCACGTGCAACCTCCACGATGCATCGTTGCTCCTCAACTTGGCCACCCGAAAGTATCGGTCTCCCACGAACCGATCAATTGAGACGTCAAACAGCCCCATCTCATCAAAGTAGGCGCGGGAGGCCTTGCACATTGTCCATGCCGGCCATGTAGTAGCATCTACCTCAACTTCTTGTGCCCGGCGAACTCGCTCTGAGTCCTCAATGTACAGCCGTACGGCATCCCACCATAAATTTCTCTAGCTGCCGAAGCCAGGGCATGCAGGAAGTGCAACTTACTCCGGCGCGGGCCAGCGCGAACTTGGTCCAAGGGCTTCGCCGTGCAGTCCTTTGCCACCACGGTTCCAATCCTCCCCGACAAAGCCGCCCACTGAAGCACCTTCCACACCTCCTCAAAGTCGTTCTGAACCAACAACGTGTTGACATTTACGTACACCATGTCTCCAACAAACGCCAAGTGCTTCAAAGGCTCGGCGCCCCGCTCAACCGCAGGTGGATCCCACCTCACAATCCAAGCGCTCGCCCTCAACATCCTCTTCCTCGCCCGTCTGTTCACCCTGAGTAGGTTCTTCATCAAATCCCAGATCCCCTCACGAGGAAGGCGAGTCAAAAGGTGGGCAACCTTGTCACCAACCTCCGGGCATCCATTAACCGTCAAGGAGAGGACGATGCCATCAGGGCCCACCAACTCACAAGCCTCCGCCGTCCAACTCAGGCTGTAACCCAATGTCGATATCACCTTGCCAAGTGGAACGATCACCTGAGCGAGCTGGTCACCGGACAAGAGGGATCCGGTCTCTGTCTGCTTCATAGCCGCGGTCGAGTCGCCGGCCAACTTCACCTGCACATTGCGGGCTTGGTCCCATTCAGTCTCGGTCTTAGGAGGGCGTAGCACATGAGTCGCCCCCGAATCCAACAGTGCGGGGCGCTCCGAGGCGTCCAATGAAGGTCGCGGGGACATCCATCCACGCACTCTTTCCACCAAGGACTTGAACATCGGCATGTGCTGCACCTCGGAAATCAACTTGAGAACCTTAGACTGAACCACAACCTCCTCCTCCGCGAAGTTCACCTTGCGCTGCGCCGGGTCGGGTGAGGAAGCCGTAGGTGAAGTAGATCCCGTTTCCCCTGCCCCTAGAGCGGGGGTCCTGTTGCCAGCATTCTTAGCAGCACCACCTCCAGGTGACCGACAGTCTTTCACCTTGTGGGAAGTGGACCCACAAGCCAGGCACTTCTTTGATCTAGCGCCTTTCTCCAGCAAGCTCCAAGTGTGGGGGAAGCGGCAAGTGTTGCCACGACGACATCCTTTTTCTCCTTGGAAAAATTTGCACAAGCCTGCGGAGGGTCCCTTTGGAGAAGTCGCTTGAGGCGTAGTCGGTGTTGCATTTCCACCCGAAGTCTCGGCTGCGGCCATGGCCCTGACGTTGGCTGACACCGTAGGCTGGGTCACACTGTGGCACGCCTGCTGTTCCATCTCCGCCTGAAGATGCTGATGGAAGGTCGTCACTGAGTGCATACTGGGGCAAACATCCACTTGCAGAGTGCTCCTGATCAGGCTGACCCTAAAGCTCAACTCGCTGTTCGCTTTCACAACCTTCATCGTGATGCGGTCCAAGCCCTGGATCAACACCGAGGCGTCCGGCTCCGCGATGCCAATGGAGGACGCCCTGCGCCTCCACAAAGTCCACTTTCGTAAGGCCTCCACTGCCTGCAACGCTGTGTCGCATTCATCAGGTCGCTCAAGTTTTTGCAGTACCAGAGCTTTCTCCTGCAGGTTCCCAGGTTGATACACAGCGTATAGTCGGCGTATAGTTTGCACAACAAAGCCAGGGAGCTCACATTGCCCATAGCTATTACTTCTTCACGAACCTGCGAAGGAACCGCCGAAAGCATCATCGCTGCGGCACGCCTCTCCACCCGGGCCCACTCCGGACGATCCAGCCCCTGGGAAGAGTGGGGCTTCAGACGAAGGCGCTCTAGTGGCGAGGCTGCGCTGTAGCTAGCATACCATTGCAGTGCATCCTGAAGCGTCCCTTCCCACCATGCATAGCTCGTATCCGAAAGGTCCTGCATGATCGGCTGGATGTGGGTCAACCAACTCAGCAGGTCTATACTCCCAGTAGCTGGCTGATACTCTGGTAGTCGTGGTAGGTCCGTAATTCCGGGCTTGACGGTTTCGGGTCTATCAGCTCGGGGTCCCATTTGTTGTTGTTGATGTAGAAGGGCTTCTATGCCACGGGCCAAGGTTGCCAAAACATTGGTCTCCTGGTTCACATCATTCGTAAGACCTGGTAGCTGAGCGACTTGAGGTACTCCCGGTACAGACTCTGAGGGATCTGACACCCTGCCTTGGTGAACTTCTCCTGGCTGGTCCTGCTGCGTGTTACCCCCTCTGCCAAAGAGACCCTGGAGAAATGCCTTGGGACCAGGTGACTGTGATCTTGCACGTGCCTTCGGCAAAGGGAAAGAGGACGGGGGACCAGAAGAGGGTTGATTTGCAGGAACTCCTGAAACTCCAGCGCCCGAAATATCATAGTGGTCCACACCATGACTAACACGATGAGGTACTCGATCTGGTAGCTGAGCAGCATGTCCCCCTTCTGCAACCTCACCAGTATATACACTAGCACATCCTTGATGAAGACCATGCAGGTCAGGGACCGAAGAGGGTTGATTTGTGGGAACTCCTGTGCAAACTCCAGTGCCTGAAGCGCCCCCTGCCTGAAGCCCAGGTGGAGGGGACGGCACCATGTCCATTGCCGGAGGTCTTGGCTGCAAAGCCATCTTCATTTCATGCATATCCAGCTGTCTCCGTAGCACTTGAGCTTCCCTCACCGCGCCATCAGTGCGCTCACGCTCCCTACGGAGCTGTTCATGTAGATCTCCCATCGCTGCCTCCAGCTGCTTTGCCACCTCGGCCTGAACCAGCTCTGGCGACACGCCCGCCGACCCGCTCGAAGACGGAGGCCTCTGTTCCTGCGGTGCCGAAGTCGATCTTGCAACCAGCGAAGCCATAGGCGGGCTCATCGTGTTCTGTAGCTCTCTAGGGGGCCATTGCCCTGGCGATCCACCAGTGCCATGGGCCGTCCATAACACCTCCACTGAGCGTTGCAAATAGTCACCCAAACGAGACAACCAAGCTGCCGCACGTGTGGTAGTGGTCCCATGGGCCACTTGAGACTGATCTGGTAGAGGAGACGGAGCAAACTGGGGAAATAACGGAACTCCAGCCGCCGGAAGGTCATCGCGCACCGTTCCGGTAAAATCGTTCATCGTCGCGGCCGGTCCGGAGTCGTCCCTTATGCCCAAAGGGCGGGTATCCACTGTGCCATCATCTCGTGGAAGCTGACGTGGTTGTACCTCAGGCGCTGTCACGTCCACTGCTGCTCCTGAGGCCGTATGTGGCATAGTAGCTCCTGTCGGCACATCAGCCGCCAACATGGGAGCTACACCATTAGGAAGCGGCGTGGCACCCTGCATCCCAAACTCTTGTCTTGGACTGCGCAGCGGGTCGAAGACAACGACCATAGTCCGGGCCTCTGATCTCGCCCTCGATCATCACGTTGTTTGGGCTCATACCCTGTTGAAGAGAAGGGAACGCAGGGGCTGCAGAGTTATCAGCAGTAGAATCCATGACAGCGCACAACGAATTCAGGAAGTCGGTTTTCACAGCATGCGAAGGTGCACTTGTGCTTCTTATGTCATGCAGCGTGACTGCTGAGCTTCACTACAGCCTGTACTGCCAACGCAAGCATGACATCTGAGCCCACCAAAGGCTTTTGCACAAGAGAGTTTCTCAAACATGCCTGCACAAGGATTTCAGCACCTAAACCCTAAACCCTAAACCCTAAACCCTAAACCCTAAACCCTAAACCCTAAACCCTAAACCCTAACCCTGAGCCGCAAAGCGCTGATGAGAGAAGGAAGGGAAAGCCCCCGGTGTGCCTGGGAGCGTTCCGTGTCCTTGGAGATGCTTAGGGGTCTAGGGTTTAGAGTTTAGGGTTTAGGGTTTAGGGTTTAGGGTTTAGGGTTTAGGGGTTTGGGGTTTAGGGTTCAGGGTTTAGGATTTAGCGTTTAAGGTTTAGGGTTTAGGGGTTTTAGGGTTTTAGGGATTTAGGGTTTAGGGTTTAGGGGTTTAGGGTTTAGGGTATGGGTTTATGCTTTACGGTTAAGGGTTTAGGGTCTAGGGTCTAGAGATTGAGCTCAATCAAGTGCTTTAGAGTTTCGGGGATTGACAGAAGGTTTGAGTACGGGTGATGGGGCCTACACCCTAAACGCCACAGAATATCCTTCAAAACAGTGGACTCTCGAATTCCCTAACGAAACGATATATAATACACAATATGAAGACCTCTAGAACACCCTTTCAAACGGCCCAAAGTCGAAATGAACTCCGAGATTAAGCCGTGAAAACCCTAAACCCTAAACCCTAAACCCTAAACCCTAATCCTAAGCCCTAAACCATGAGCCTGCAAGTACGACCTTCTGCCGTGCGTCGTGAGAACGAGCTCTTGGTCCGAACCACGCGCTCTGCCACCGGCTGGGAGGGTAGCTCTGGGGCGACCTGGCGAGTCGTCCCAGGTTTTAGGGTTTGGCTTTGAAGTGTAGGGTCTAGGGCTTAGTAGGCCAACCCGCGAC